AAATATGAAGTAGCCATTAAAATATCTTACGTACGCTGAATTACAAACAACGTTCTTTAAAACACTGAGTACTCTCACCTTATTAAAATGAAGCAACTTTCTCAAACAAAGCCTAAGTTAACACAGTATTTCCAAAGTACATTGGACAATCAACGCCACAATTTATTCTTGTCACAAACTTAGAATGCTAACAGCAGTTTAAAATTGCAACACATAAAAATAGAGTAGTAGTTTCAAACATATCAACTTGAAATTTAAACATAAAAATCTTGCTGACTTTTATTTTTAAAAGTCAACCTGACAAGTACAGATGAGGGGAAGAGCTAATCATTTCTACCTATTCCAGCCATCTTATTATAAGGACAGATGCTTATGGAGACAATAGCATGTCGAACAGAGGACACCTTTACTTCCATAAAAATACCTGCAAATATCAATACAAAAGTATTATTTCCTCCATCAAGTCAGTGGTCATGAAGGTTCCTGAAGCTACGTAGTTTATTTCCAAGAAACATTTATAAAAATCATATAACGCAAAAATATCCTGTCTCTAAACCTAAATACTTACCTCAGAGGCCCAAGCAGAAGCATATAGTCAGACAGAGAATGTCTGACAACCACCTGCTTTGAAGGCTTTTAAACTGCAGACCAGCACCACCACACCAGCAGGAGATCCCCCCTGAGCAACTGCACTCACAATTCATGGAAGCTCCTCAAACTTCCTTCACCAGCTATAAACCACCTTGGGCTGTCAAATTTTCCATTCCTGAGCCGCCATTACATTCTGAAACTGTATATTGATCCATGAACAGGAGAAATCAAACATGAAAGGTGGGTCTGATCACAGGCATTCGCTGGGGAAAAAAAAAAATCAACTGCTATTCATTCGGAGTAAAAGTACATTTAGGCCTTGGACTAAGTTGCTCCTCCATCAGAAACCGACATTACTCTTAAGACAAGAGTTGTGAAGCAGTTGGCTTCAACTTCTCTTTGCTGGGTGCAGATAAAACTGTTTAAAGTAGCAGACTAATAAAAGTATTTAGCCTGAACTGGTTCTTGAGAAAGAAAACTACAAGTACACAGTGAGAAACACGTACTTTGTTTATACATATTTTTCTAAAGTATCCTGGATTTAAGCCAATTAAAGGCTGCCATTTAGTAATCTACAAGATATAAAGAAAAGTAGTGAAAGCCTTTGGAATAAATTTAGATTTTGAAAGCTTTCAAGTGATCGTGTTTGAATGAATCATTATGAGCCTGTTTGTAAACTGTATCCTTATCACCTTTGATTGGGGCAGGTAGGCTGAGTAAGCACTTGCTTTAGTAGAACGTGAACTGTTCTAGTACAGACATAGAAGACAAATTTGAAGATATTTTAATTCTGTAGACTAGAAATACTGTAAGAACACAGGTAGATTACAGTATTATGGCTAGGATTGTTACCAGTTACTACTGTGAACTTTCTTGAACAACAGACGAGAAGAGCCAGCCTCAATGCTTCAGTTTTTTTTTTTTTTTAAGATGCAATTCTAAAGCAAAGACAGACGATACAGCCCATGATAACGTAAAAACTATTCATTCCACTATTAATATGCAATCTTTTAATCTGTTGCAGACCAATGCTGATGGAGGACAGTATTTATCTAAAAAACAGCAGTGAAAATGCAATCCTACAAGTTGACTAGAATTAGCATCATGGATAAGTGTTCTCCAGGATCTCTCATTCTCCATGATTTTATGAGTCTCTCTCTAACTTTTTTCACATTGAACTCAGCTTCAAATGACTGACGAGCTTTTCTCTAATTCTAGGCAAGAGCCAGCCTGAAAACAACAGGCCGGCTCCCTCTCTTTTGACATAAGCACAATCAGTAGCAGCTTCTGGATAGCTAAGAGAATTTCTTGATGACAAAACATGAAGACTTAATTTTGCCAGATGCACCTAAATACTCAATAAAAAAGCACTCTGGACAGTTAATTCAATCCACCTAACATCTGAGTCATCCTTTGATGATACCCCGCAATTCTCCTTTTTTGTTACATAGGGAACTTAGGATATCTGCGGTTTTAAATCAGGCATTTCAGTTTTGTGGGATGAACGCTGGCCAAAGAGCCTGGAAAACTGAAGCCAGAATGCATAAAAATAGGCCGAGTCACTGCAGAGCTTGTGAAATAACCCTGGAATAGCGCTAGGAGACTTGTGAGACAAGATTAGTCAGGCAAACTAAATAATTCACACTTGGAATAGCAATGCTAGGAAATTGCATCTCCAGCAACATCAGAGAACTTGAAAATGCCACAAGCAGAAATGACTGCAAACAAAGCTGCAGAGTGTGAGCCATAGAGTTTTACATCTTCTTCCTGCTTATAAAAATATCTGTTTTTAAAAAATCTTGACCAAAAAAAAAAAAAGAGAGAGAGAGAGAGAGAGAGAGAGAGAGAGAGAGAGAGAGAGAAACTTTTCCGAAGTAACAGCATCCAGCTGCCATGGTCTTAAGTTCTTCTTTGAAAAACGAAAAAATCTCATGAGACCTTTCTGTGATTAATGTGCTTTTGGGCCACCATTTCTAGTGTCTGGCACCAAACCCCTAACGTCTGCTTCTTTAGAATCTAAGATGCAAAGTAAATTGAGTCACTGACATGCCTCATAGTAGTATTACACTCCTTCACACCTCTCACACCAAACAGCAACACTAAAGGGTAAGTTCAAAACAGTCTAAAACAATTTCTCCGTTTGTTTCACTGTAGCCCATATCATGTTACAACGGAATATCAAACTGGAAGAGGAACCCACTGAGGCATTACATATGCTTTACAGCATTGTAGTCTTTATACTTTATTTTTCAATCACTATTTAGTCATGCTATTTATATTCATGGAATTCCATACAAAATAGTAAGCATAAAATAAGTATAAAACTAAAAATATAGGTATTCCCTTTAGAGAGTTGTGTGATTGACGACTGTACTGGTATTCCTTCTTAGATAATAATAACCATTCTCGGGGAAAAAAAAGTCTTTCATTGGCATGGATGCATGGACAGCCGTTTAGCTCCTAGTAACGCCAAAATAAAGAACAGAAAAGGGAGTTTAGCTAAATCATAGGTTTCCCAAGGTTGTTTTGCTTTAAACATTACAGTACAGTGTGTAATCAAACTTTATATAAAAATAATATTAAAATCTGAACCTGACTAAATCAGCTGGCTAATAAAAATTATGAGCATGTCATTCAGTTTAGAACATAGAGATATTTTACAACTTATACTAAAAAGACTGAAATCATTGGTAATGATGATAAACATCTATGCCAGCACAATGCTAAATGATCTTAATTTTGACTATATTGGTCTGTGAGAAGGTAGCAAAAACAGCCATATAATTAGAAGCACATCAGATTGACCTCTTGATTAATATTTCCAAAATTACATTTACGTTCCACTTCCCCAGCTATGAGGAGCAGTGAAAAGCAGATGCAGTAAGTAGTGAAAATAAATCCACAATAAATAAGAATATTGATCATCTGCTTCCAGTCATCTATGTAAAACAAATGTTTATATTTATGGCTGAGGCAGTACTTCCATTATAAACTCCTATTTTCAAGCACTTACAGCAATTTGGAAAAAAAAAAAAGTCCAAGAGGATAAAATCTATCGATTTCTCCCCAGCCTAGATATGATTTCTCTTCCTCCCCACTCCTCCTTTTTCTCTGTGGAGGAGATGCAAGAAATTAGTAAAAATCTTCCTGATTGTTTTAGAGCTAAGTAAGTGGAAGAGGCAGGCATCTTTCATGGGTTAAGGACCATGGAGAAGCTTTTTCTGTTGCCATATGATACCAGGAATGTGAATCATCCGCGTCACTTGAGGAAGAAACTTGCAGATAAAGAAAAAGACAGATAGCCAAGTGGGAGGAAGAGATGGATCAGCAGAGGAGTCACGTTGAGAAAATTCTTCTGACATCATTAAAATCTGTCCTTAAAATAACACTGCTTATCTAGCCCAGAATTCCTCCCTCTGGGATAGTGACAATGAAATAAGCAAGACTATACCTTAGAAGAGCAAATTCTTTGGGGACAAAAATCTGTGAACAAATCATTTTAGAAGGTAAACTGGGAACAGACACCAATAAATAGAAAATGGAAGAATCAACACATCTTGGCTAAATCATAGCCAGCTATTCTAAATGTCAGCTTTCCAAAGTGCTTGGAGGTTCACCAAGTGCTTGCTCATAGTCTTAAAAAAGGGTGCTGAGAAGCAGAGCTCCTGTAGCGCCAGAAGCATGCTTACTGACCCGGGGCGGTGAAGTGTCAGTGCCACCCAACACAAAGGTTCCCCGCTCATCCCCACTAAGACACCACACAATCACAACAGTGTTTTTGCTACAGAAGAAACAGTGTCTTGTCCCCGCTTTACAAAACGCCCAAATGTTTTACTGGGACATTTGCTATTTGTGCATTGTCTCAAGAGTTCCCGTGTACCAAATAATGTTACATTCTCACTGAAGGGATGAGGATTAATTGAGAATTTCAATTTCAAGTTGCCCAGAGTAAAAACAGAAGCAACAAAAAATAATGAGTAGAAGTAATAAATGGAGAAAATAAAGCTATAAAGGAATCAAACAACACTATCTGTTAAAAATCCTTAAAATATATATGTTAGCAGCACTAAGGAAGTTTTACATTGCTTTAGACAACTGATGAATAACTGCCTTAAAATAGTGCAGTAGAGTTCTCTGCCTCTGTTAAAAGTTCACCTTTTGGTACTGTGGAATCCCTCTCACGATAGACAAAGGTGCCTGCTCGGGTCCTCCATGATCTAAATAAAACTGTAACCCCAGACCAAGTCAAAGACACTGTGGTTTCTAAATCTAGATTTCTACAAAATTCAGAATGTGCAATTTAATGAAGGAAAGTTTGATGCTGATGTTAGAAATAAAGAAAAATAATAAATTAAGGGAAAGACTAAGAATTCGTACAAAGTATAATACTAAATGTTTAACTTGCTTACCTTCATCATAAATTTCTGTAGAGCCATGAGAGGGGGGGAAAAAAGAGAAAATGTGAAATGAATATTTGCTTTCAGATGCTTAAAAAGAGGATTTGTTTTCTCTGAAATAGTGAGTGGGATACAAAGAACTACAAACCACATTTGAAAGGAGCATTTATCATTGCAATTAGCAGATAATTATAGTATGTGCTAGAAAGCAAAACAGCTGCTCAGAACAATGCTTCATCATTTATTTATACAATAATTTTCTCAAGTTAATACTTTAAATAATATATCACATTAAACACTTATCATCCTGTAAACGTAAGACACAGTACAGGTAGAAGAGCTACCAAGCCTGAGCAATTATAACTCGCTCTGCAGAGAATTTGTAAGTTAACACAAGTCCTGCATTCAAAGTGCAGTGTTAGAGAGCAACACCAATACTGTAGTAACTTTCAATATGTAAATGCACAATAAATTAAGAAAATGGAAAATGATACTACTATTACATGCAGTGATTCAAAAAAATTTTAGTGCCATGCGACTGATATCAGAGAATTATGGAAATTCTAAAAAAGTTAGCTTTCATACAGCTCCTTAAAAGCAAAAGGAGAGCTATATATTATGTTATAAACAGTAAACGGTTTTTTGTTTGCTTGTTTGTTTTTCTAAGCGTCCTATGGATGCATTCTCCTCTTTTGATCTCATCAGTTCTTGTTTTGGTATCTCAAAATCTGAAGCTTAGGACCTGATGTTTGGCAGCAAATCTCTATCCCACACGCAAAGAGAGTCTACCTAACTGAAGAGCTTCCAAGTAAGACTGGGTGCTTTCATTTCATGCATGCCTTCACAAGAGAAGCTATTCAGCAGTCAAGAAAATAGTATCTGTTCTGAAAGATGCCTATCTTGTTCTAGATTAAAAAAAAAGTTATGACCTAATGATCTCAAAACATCCAAAGAATTCTCTCCTGGAAAGTCTTCTAGGTCTATTTGCTAGCTAGATATGCGGAAACAAATTGAGCAAAACTGAGCATCAAGCACCCTTGCCATCTCTGTTTCATAAAGTGAGTATTTAAAATACATGTACAGATTAGCAGAATGATTACATTTTGTTGTTATTATACACCACATTTCTCATAATTCCAACATTTTGCCAGAAGTCTTTGCTGAGTTGTCCACAGCAGTGTGTAAATTCACTAACATAGAAGTCAGTTAATTACATGATTAATTCAAACTAACGTAACCTTTCCTAGACTTATCAGCATCAAATTTCATTTGCTAACACTCTGTCCACTCATCAAGGAGATTAAATCCATCAAAACTTCAGCCCTCTTCTAGCTGCAATTCACCTATGAAATCCTGTTCTACCCAAGAACTGTAAAACTTCACTGCTTATTCATTTTACAAGTACCTTAAACACCAGTCCTTCTGCACAACCTTCTGGTTCTCTTACTGATCATTTATTTTAACTGCTTGTTTGCAATCTCTTAGCTAGCTTCAAATTAATGTGATTACATTATTGTTTCCCCTGATTACTAGAATTACCCAGCAGCTTCTTCTGCTGGATTTTTTTGGAAACCCAGATTGACCAATTCATTCTCTTCTCTTGACATATTAAATGGGCTGCAACAGATGAAACAATTTGCATTCGTCCGTCTCTGTCATACTGTGTTCTTTAGAGTTACGCTGGTTCCTGTGTAATTTTGAGGAAGATTATGTGCATTTCCTGGAGAGAGCACATGCCGCGGGCAGGCCCCTCGGACTAGAAGCCCCAGGAGAGCACAGTGAGGGAACTCTGCACACACCTGGGCACCCATACTTCCACCTGCTACTTCAAAAACTGCCCGGAGAAGGAACACCCTCAAAGCTCTTTCTTCTTATAAAATCAACACGCAAGTCATGGCCACAAGAGTGCCCCAGTGAAAACTCGGGTCAAGGTTGAGAAGTTCCCCACCAAGAACTGCTGGGGCTCGGCTGCCTGCTACTGGCCAGCAGACCAGGTTAGAGGTCTCCGGGCACTTCTGTCGCTCCCTTCTATGAGAAACTTAAGTGTTTTTAGATCAAATCTCTTCGTAGCTACAGGGGAATGCTCACTTGCCCAAAGTTAACTTTCAGGTATGGGAAAAAGAGCTATTTTTTTAAACCTCTAAAACAAAACAACAGAAACTAGGCACTTCAGGTAGGCAAGCAGGCTGTTGGACGAGCCACTTCTCCAGCCCGGCCTGTGCAGAGAGAACAGCTTTCTATTCCTTCATGTTTGCTCTCTGTGCCTCGGAGCAGCAGTGCGCACAGGCTCCTGGACTAAGATTACCAATTCAAAATGTATATTTGAAAATTAAACAGGCAGAACAGACCTGTAATTTGAAATTTCTTTTCATGTTGTTCCTGAAAGCTACTGTTTACTGATAGATACTAAAGTATTAAAGTGATACCAAATGCAGACTGATGTGGTCACTAACTACAAGAAGTGCATTATTTAATAACTACTCACAGCTAAAAGTGAAAGAAAGGATCAAATTGTGATGAGATGTTGTTTTTCATTATACAAAGAGCTCCTAGTCCATCAGTGGAGCAGCAGTGCTGACAGCAGAATTTGGCTGTATGTATTTATGAAACGCTACCTTCTACACATGATTACAAATTATATAGATGTATGCAATATCCAGTGTAAAAATACCTTTAAAATAAGCTTGGTCTTAGAGTTATTGAGAATGGAGATTTATCTGCTCTGTGTACTTTTGAGCTGTTGTGCAAGCCTACTTTACAGTCAATAAAGAGACACAGGCATTTCTAGAGTGTGATTCATCTGATTTACTAAGCTGACACTTACTTTAGGATGGGATAAATTACACACCAGAAACGTCTGATTCTTCTTCTTGACTATATTAGGAGTCTAAATAATTTGCTAAACCTGCATTGTCCTTGGTGGAAATGCCTAAACCACCTTCAATATCTGAAAAGCCGATCAGTTACTAAGTACAAAACACCAAGATTGTCTTAGACACTGAAATTCAAGAACCCACTGTAGGCTCTCTGTTGAACACTTAAAAGCAAGGAGCAAGGTGATAGCTGGACTTCTGATTTATTAAGCCTCTGTGTTAAATCCTATCCTGCTGCAATTAATGTATGTTTAATGACTGACTGCATTAAAGACAGCCTTTTATCGCTAGGATGGGGCTGTAACATCATTTGGCTCCTTGCACAGCATTTTGTTAGCACTATTATGATTGCTCAAACATGCACCTTTTATCCCAATTTTTCCTTAATTCTTGGGCTCTCTGGCTAGATGAAAAGAGTAACCTAATACTACTTTATTTGGAATTTGTGATAGCAAAGTTGCCAAGATTATCTTTTTTGAAAGCCTTTTAATTTAGAGGTTAGCTCTTGACATACGCCTGTAGAAATCTGCTTACATAGAAACATAAAAGTCTTTAATCTAACCTAATCAGGACATTAGCATGGAAAAAAGGAAAACTGAAAAGCAGACAGTTTTCTGCAGTCCACAGTAATTAGTATTGATACACAGACCACAGCTTGAAATTTTCATATCTATAATATAGACTGAAGGAGAAATACCAAGGGAATTCTAGTAAATAATTAGGAATCCTGTTACTCTATTAAAATAAGTTTCAGTGAGATCCCCACACAGATTCTGTCTGGAAAGAAGCAGTGTATTTAGAAAATGTGTGTATTACTTTATCTTTACGGTATGAGTTAGACTTGAGCTTCAGTAAACATCTGCTACACTATACAATACATTAAGGATGGAAGTGCAGACATGGCTGAAACTATAGCAGCAGTTGTGGCATTTTAAAAAGTACTTCAATATTCCACACGTTTCACTATGACTGTTCATTTTAACTTTCATACAGGGCTATCTCCTCCCCATTCTAAATTTCCCATAAGAGCTGTACAGAGGATAATTGAGTGGCTCTTGGTAGTATTACTGATATTACTGCCTATATTGAGTAACCTGAGTGCTCTTTGTCATATTCACAGTTTGAATGAAATTTATTTAGGGCAGGAGATAAATATTGGTGTGCAATAAGCATATTTTCCCACAGCAATATGATAAAAACAAATCTGCAGTTAGGTGAGCGAACTTACTGTGAACAAAAAAAATTCTCAAAAAATGTTCAAGTCCTTAGATGAATCATTTAAGGATTGGGAAAAAAAATCACACAAATTATAAAGCCTAAATATGCAATGAGTTATTTCAAATGGTATTCAAGACATACTGCAGCCACCATTTCCCTCTGATGAAGCTTTGTTTTGCTGCTCACGCACTCCTCCACAATAACCCTAACTTGCTTCCTCTAGTCAGAATCTACTTAGAAGTTCTTGCCATATTCATCAGGTCCAAATTGTCCTCAAAGACAGAATTTGTTCTCTTCTTCTCAAGCCACTGTCAAGAAACTGTAATTACTCTGACAAGTGTCAGAAGGCTGTTCTCTCCTCTTGCTCTGCAAGTTTCTCTTTTGCAAAGAAACTGAAAAATAGTTTTATTAGTGGCATAA